AAATCAATCCGGGCTCTCCCTCCCCTTCCTTGTCCCCTTTTTCTCTCTCCTTTCCTCAGCGAGGCCCTCGGAAAAATGAAAGATGTTTATGAGAAAAACCCCCAGATGGGAGATCCCGCGAGTCTGGCCTCTCAAATCAGCCACACATCCCAGAACATAGAGCGACTGAGGCGAGATCTCGGCAAGTATGAGGTAATGATGACTTTGGACGTGTAGCTCCGGGGCCGTGAATGCATCATTTGTCAACAAACTCTTTTTTTTTTTTTTTTTTGTCTTTCCGGCTGTGGTAGACGTGGTTGGCCGAGGCAGGCGGCCGCGGTGAAACGTTGCGTTACAAAACACACATGTTCAACAACAATGGCGCTCATGACGTGTCAAGGTAACACTTCGTCAGTAGTGACAGCGGGGTCACGTGTGATGTGAAAAAGTGCCGTGACAGGAAACGCTTTTCTCTCCTCCAGCCCTGACGGCGCTCACTCCGACGAAAGCTCTCCTGACGCCTCGCAAGCCATCTACGCAGAGTTTGACGATGACTTCGAAGACGATGAAATAGCTGTTAGTATTGGCAACTGCACAGCCATGTACAACTTTCCTGGTACGTGAATTACACGTCATCTGTTTTTATCGTGCAAATTTACTGTTAAAAGGAACCAGTTGATTTTATTAGAGAAGCAGAACGTTCAAAACACACTTAGGAAATCAGCGCTGCACTAAAGAGAGAAAATATATCACAGGAAAAAAAGTTTAGTTTAGTTTGCCTTTAGTGACATCGAGTTTCCCTGGGCTTGGCGTCTACTAATTACAACAAAAGATTTTTTTTTTTCTTGTTTAACTATGTTCCCTTGCATCCTACAAAAACACAAGTCTTTTCACGCAAGGACTCTGAAGAACAGTTGTTTTTTTTTTTCCTTTTTAACCAAAGTCACAAAAGTTAGCTGCCAACATTTTCATGGAATATGCTGACTAATAGGAATTATCTTGCTCAAAGTCTTAGTGACTGTGTGAACAGCAGGACTTGATGTCGATGTCTGATTCCATAAACCGGGGACCGCAGACACAGTGGCATTCTTCAGAAAGTAAAACTTGTCCACTTTGAAGTACTTTACACAGAGTACAGCGGCACAGCAGTGATAATACAGTTAATCAGTGAAATAAATATATACAATAAAAATACAGTAAAAGCAATAAATAAATAAAGTAAAATTACACGGGGGAAAAAAAACAAAAAGAAAAAACCTGAATGTAAAAAAATTTTTTTTTTTTTTTTTTTTTACAAAATTTGCAGCTAAATGTTAGCCGCGTTCTGCTAACATTTTCCTCATAAAATACAGTGGGGCTGAGCAAGCAATTTTTTTTTTTGCACGATTTTCCTGGTAATACGAGGAAACATCGAGTGTCTCTCTCTCTCTCTCTCTCTCTCTCTCTCGTCCTTCTTACCTTAGTTGCCTTGACACTGACTCGCTCACTGTCCCTCATTTTACCCATTTTTATAACAAAAATATAAAATGTTTTCTTAATTATTATTATTTTATATGATCTATATATTTGTTTATATCTATGTTTTTTTGATGTTTATATAGAGGGGAAATTTTAATTTAATTATTTAATAGTATATTTCTGGGGAGCTGTAACGAATGAATTGGTTTTGAGTTATTTTTAATGTAGAAAAATCCGATCGATGCACGAGTGCTGCTGTGGAACAGGATTAAACCCGTATCCCTGAAGCGCCGCTGTACTAGAATGTTCTCTCCTCTGGCCTACTCAGGGGCCAGCGAAGGCACCATCTCAATGCAGGAAGGCGAGGTTCTGGCCGTGGTGGAGGAGGACAAAGGCGACGGCTGGACCCGCGTCCGCAGGAACAACGGGGAGGAAGGCTACATCCCCACGTCTTATGTCACCATCTCCCTGAACAAATGACTGAAGATAGTGACAAAGACGAGGAACGGCGGAGAAGGAGAAGGGCCGTTTGCTAAACTGAACGCATTTCTTACCATGGAGGCATAACAAACAGACAGTGATGCCAACAGAAACAGACGGAGGGGACAACTGGAGTGTCCGAGGGAAGGGCTTTGACCTGAGGTGTCCTTAATGAGCAGACAGGGGCTCTGACAGTTTTTTTTTTTTTTTTCACAGTTCACATTATTTTATGAAAAGATTTATATATATATATATATTTGCATGTATGTGTTTCAACCACATACAATTGGTCTATAGAAAAAAAATGACCATCAAACCTCTCTCTTCATCGGGGGTCACCACAGCAGGTCACAAAGTGATTTCCTCCTATATATTTTTTTTTTTTTACACTAGATTTTCTTCTTATCGTTTTATTGGGTAAAGCATTAGGTTGGTACCGTACCGGAAAGCAGCTGGAACTGAATCTAACTTTTTTTTTTCTGAAAGTCCCTTATTTAAAGTCTCCCAGAACAGAAGCAGTTTGGAGTGCATTACCACTCCTGGCCAGCAGGGCTACCTCTAATCAAAGGCTTTGAAAATGGAACTGGAAGGGTTGGCTGGTTGACTAGCTTAGTATAATGCAAACATCCTTCTTGGAACCATTAAGAAAAACGTCCAACATGTCTTTAGAGAGTGGTCGGAAAAGTCCACAATTTATGGGGGGAAAAAACGGTTTGGTTTGTCATTCAGAATATTTTAAAGTTCTTCAACCAATCATGAACGTAAGCCGCATCATGAACATTACAAAAGTCATAGAACTCTTGTCTTTTCAACCCATTTTTTCCAGGAGCAGACGTACACATAAATCCCAGTTCCTGTTTTATTCCGCCAGTGGTTCCTCAACAATTAATGCTTCAAAATTCCACGGAACTTTTTTCGGAGTGATATTTTCAAAGAAAACTAAAATTACAAATCTTTGATCCCCCTCCCATTATAGCACTATTAAAAACGTTGTAAAAATTAAATTCAGTTTTTCGCTTTCAAAGTCAATGTTTTAAGCAAACAAAGCATTTTTTTTTCTCTCTCGTAAGAATAAATCTGATCCATTAGAATTTTAGTTAAAAACCGGTTCGACTGAATCAGTGCCTCGGAGAGTAATCCCCAGAGGCAGCGCTAGATCGTATGTTTTCTTGAAAAAAAATACCAAAACTATTTCTGCAGGTCTACCGTTTGAGTTCAAGCTCCTCTGGAAGTGCTCTCTGTCACAAATACCAAAACTATTTCTTCAGGTCTACCATTTGAGTTCAAGCTCCTCTGGAAGTGCTCTCTGTCACAGCCTGCTTCTTTTTTTTTTATTATTTAGCTGTAAAACTTTTAGCTTGATTAAAAGAAACCATGTTGACGTTTCCTCTGACTTTTTTTAAATGATTAAAACAACGCCTCAGCTCAGAGCTGGACAAGAAAAAAACCCCAAAACAAAACGCTCGAGAGACGCGTGTAAAAATACTCTTGTGAATAAAATTGGACATTTTAAAAATATAAATTATTATTGAAATTATTAAAACCAGCTGTACAACTACGTGTGTGAGTCGGATAATCCTAAAAGTGTGTTCTGCAGCAGAATGTATAGTTTGATAACTTTGGAAAATCTAGTGATTTTAACGTTAAAAAAATTGAGTTTTAACCTGAGTTGACATTCCCTTAGTGAAGTAGTTCTCAAATAGTGGGGCGGGCCCCCATGGGGGGGGCGGGTGGTGAGGTGCCGGGACATGAGGGGGCTGCAATGGAATATGGCACGCTGGACATAAGTGTACCTACTGCTGTAATTCTTGAACGATAACAAGCCTCCAGTCACTAGGGGGCAGCACCTCATACAGTGGTTTGTACAGATAAAAATATACATATTATCAGGGTCTTAATAGTATTTAAATTTGCTGGGTTGTGCGCGTTGGATGGGCAGCAGTAAGGGGGATGGGGGATGGGGGGGGCGTGAAAACATTGCTGTCCCCAAGGGGGTGCATGACAGAAATTCAATTTAGAACCACTGCCTTGGTGCCACCGTCTGCCTTTTTGTATCGCCAGCAACTATTTCTACCAAACGTACCAAACCCAAAAATGATGCAGTATACAAAAGTCGAGGACAATCGTAAAATTTTTCTCATGCAGACGAACAGAACCTCCATGCACAAAACTTGTTACAACGACTCGGGGGATTTCATAAATACAGTACTTGATGGTCATTTTGTAAATGCGCATCTTCAAAAATCAGGAATAGAAGACATGTGACACTGTTTTGTACGAATGAGAACCATGATAAATATTTCTTATATGTCCTCCATAAATATATTAATGGCCACAAAAACCTGATCTGACGCCCCCTACCCTTATGTTGTCCTTACGTGACCTACAATTCTCCCGGGGACGTTTCAGGTCACGGTTAATCCAGTGAAACTTTCCAACAGACTTTCAGTTTTTTTTCCAGAGTTCCTTACAAAACATGCAGTGCTATTTATAGGCCATTTCCAGGAACGATCCTTTATTAGCATCACAGCTATTTTATTCCTGGTCTTTTATAGACAAATACAACCGTCTTTAGTCAAATTCTTCTTGTCTTTTTTCTTTTTCTTTTTTTCTTTTTTTTTTTCCTGCTTTATTCTAGCAAGAAGCAATCGATTCCCAGCTATATCTTAAATTTCAGTCCAAACCAGAAACAGTGATCGTACACAATAGCGGTTGCAACCTGAACTTATCCAAATCTTATTTATTACAAATGCGCTCCGGATAACACTTTACGTTCGGATGGAAATTGTACTTTGTACTTGAGGATGTTCTCACATTTTTTTTCTCCTTGCACAACGTGGGCAGTTTGACACCACAGACGGCAGTGAACACAAACTGTGGTACGCAAAGACTAATGTATTTAATATGTATATAAATGATATATATATATATTAGCACTCATATCACCACTATTGCCTATTCCGCTTTTTTAACCATTTCACGACAGTCTCGTTCAGTTTCTAGCGTATTCTCGTAAATGTTTCGGTTTCACTCCAACCGTGTCAAACAGACCCAGGTCTCTTTTGTTTTGTCACATGGTTTGAGACAACAGGAAGCAGTCACGGCATTGGTGCCTTTTATGTTCAGCTCATTGTGTATGTACATTTTTGCATTTAGAATATTTCTTCTTTTTTTTTCTTCTTCTCAGAATGCAATAAATAAAGCGCATTTAAAATTGATATGATTTTGTCTTTTTTCGTTACAACAAATTGTTGATTTCCTGATGATTTATCTATCTATCGATCTATCCGTCCATCTATCCATCCATCCATCCATCCATCCATCTATTCATCTATCTATCCATCTATCTATCCATCCGTCCATCCGTTCAACCATCTAGCTAGCTAGCTAGCTATCTACCTACCTACCTATCATGTCTTCATCAGGGCTGTCCAACTCATTTTGGTTCAGGGGCCACATACAGCCAGACAGATGTCAAGTGGGCCGGACCAGTACAATCACAACATAAATACCTATATATATATCAATAAGTCCATGCCCCCCTTTGTTTTCATACAAATAAGTACAACTATATTGGAAAATATTCATATTTAATGAAATATATATTTGACAGAACATCATGAATATGGGGTGTTTGTGCATTTTTCATTCATCAAGCGGGCCGGAGTGAACCCCCTAGGGGGCCCGTTTTGGCCCCCATGCCATATGTTTGACACCCTTAGCTCTTTTCAGAAGTGAAGCACCTGTAGTATCTTTATCATTCCAAACTTTAAACCAAGGGGGGAGGGGGGGCAAATGGCAGATTTTTTTTAGAGAAAATTTTTTATTTGAGTGGTACCTGCGGCTTACGTGCAGCAGGTGGCGCTTTTGCAACATTTTTTAAATTCGGGGTCAAATCGCTGGCATCCACTTGCTTCTGCATAACATTCCAGTATTAGGCGTCTTGATTTAAATGCACTGCGTTTTCAAACCGATTTTATTTATCATAATAAACACCACATCATCCATATTTAAACTTCCTTCGGCGGGGCAGACTGGAGAAGATAAAAACATTTCCGTGGTTCAGAGTGAATGTTTGACGTGGAAATTGGAAACGAATGAGCTCAGACTACAGGGGGGAGGGGGGGGGGTCGATCATCGTCCGTATGCAAAGCCTCATTTGACCTTAAGATCTGAGAAGGTCAGTTTTATGAATCATATTTTACTAAATTTAGTCCACATCCGACAGAAACGTATACATACATTTTTTTGGGTCGTTTGTCAACACTGCTGCAACTGCCACACAAACATTTATAAATGAGACAACACATTTTAAAAAGACAGTATAAACCCAGTACATGCCTTAAAGCTGTATTAGTTATTTTATATCAAGGGTGTCAAACATATGGCCGGCGGACCAAAATCGGCCCACTCGGAGGTTCAATCCGGCCGGCTTGAACATTGTCTAATACAGTATAGTATATTGTATAGTATATATACAGTATAGTATAGTAGTAAGTGACTATATACTTGTCACTTACTGTCTGTATAACTGCTAGCAACACGACGGTGTGTAGACTTGACTGCGCCGTTGGTCTGGAACAAATATCCTCGAGGTACATAACTGAAGAAACATGTTTTTTTTTCCTGTACTTGTTTGTACCGATTATTTCCAGGTAAATGTGTATAAGATTAGCATTTCGCAGGTACATAACTGAAGAAACATGTACCGATTATTTCTAGGTAAATGTGTATAAGATTAGCATTTCTTTCTTGTGCTAACATGCTAATATGCTACCATTTCATGCTATGATTTGTTGATACATATACATATAACAGTCCATTGGGAAAATACCACTTTACTGTACACTGTATAAATATTTTTCAATACTTTTTTTAGGGCTGGGCAACTTAATGTGTTAGCGCTCCTTAATTAATTAATTAATTTATAGCGCGTTAATGCAGTTTTAAAAAATAAAAAAAATGTCTTTTATTATTAGCAAACGTCCTTTGCTCACCGGCTTTCGTTTTGTAAAAGCCTGTTGCATTAGCTGTTAGCGTTGCAGAGTGCTAAAACCAGTGAAATCCGGTATAAACATGGACTTTAAATACTAGTCCCTGCACAGTTTAACCCCAGCTGTGAACTTTTTTTGTGCTTCACCTCACTCTTCACCTCACTCTTTGGCCCGGAAAAGCTGTCCCTCTATTAGCTTCTTCGGCCTTAGGGTCGATGCTAAGTACAGTCGGTGTAAAGGGATCACTTACGGTTCATATGCAGGGCAATGCAACCATCTGTTCAGTCGCTGCTCCTTGACCTGCATGTTAAAATATATATCAGAGCGCTGGAACATCAACACTAGACTTGGTTTGCCACTGCAGATCAAATCAGCTAAGTTTCACCTGAAATTGAACCATCTGTTTCAGTCGCTGCCTTCTTCAGGGATTGCTATAGCGGACGGTCCACGCATGGGATTTGGCATGGTGTTTTCTATGGCTGCCTCTCCGGGTTCATAAGCCCAATTTATCCAGGTTGATGTTATTACCGTCGCAGTGTGTATGTCACCATATGGTGCTGAAGCTTCAGCATAGATGTAATGTAAATATAAGTGTGCGCTCTGTCTTTATTTTGAAGCCACCAGAAAGGCTGTTTAAGCAACATCTGGTTCAGAGAAGACTCCAATAGACTCTCTCATCGCATATTTCCAGTTAAAATACTTAATTGGATTTTTTTTCCCCCCAACAAGTTAAATTGTTTTCTCTTGCTAGATTGCATTTTTCTCAAGACAAACCCTCATTGTTCATGCATAAAAAAAATGCCTTTTTCAGCAAGGAGTTTTTTTGTGCAGGGGTGTTCAACCCTTGGTCCGGGGACCGGTGCCGGTCCGTATGTCATTTGGTATCGAGCCGCAGTAAGAAAAAAATGTACTTTAGTTTTTACTCATTTACGTCATGCAAAAAAAATCCAGTCATATACCTTTACTTTTTTCAAAACAACAGGTCATTCAGACCCTGATACTAACAGAATTAAAGATGTTTTACTTTGAATATTTAATGATCCTACAACAGTGATACTGGCTGACCGGTTCTTGGTACAAAAAAGGTTGGGGACCCCTGATTTAGTGCATCAGGGGGTGCTTGGTTTACGACGTCCTCGACCAATGGCGTTTCTTCATTACATTGCCATCTAACAACAAATGTATTTTAAAAAAGTCTTCTATCGTTCTTTCTATCTATCTATCTATCTGTCTATCCATCCATCCATCCATCCATCCATCCATCCATCCATCCATCCATCCATCCATCCATCTATCTATCTATCTATCTATCTATCTATCTATCTATCATCTATCTATCTATCTATCTACTTAGACTCTAACGTCAGAGGTTAAAATCATTGAACTACTAAAACCAGCATCACCAGCTGTAAGCAGCCCCATGAATCACATTAGGAACACTTCAAGTCTAACTCCAATGAGTTCGCTGTGAAAACAACAACCCCGGTTGTGTCTTCATCTGTATTCTGCTTCAGCCCCCCGCACTCCCCCCCTGCCCCCCCCATCCTTTACTCTAAGCAGTGTCTCTTAGTCCTTTTATTAAAGTGTGTGCCGTTACAAAATAAGCAATTATTTCTCTGCTGCACTGCAGGCTATTAAAGATTGAAGAACTCTGTCTTCCAGCAATTGGCACAGGAAAAAACGAAAATACCGCCACGTAACGAGACCCTTTTACTCCTTCAGCGGCACAGACTGGTGGTCCAGAGGTATCATTTATTACCTTTGCCTAGTATACTCCTCTGCTCTTCCAAAGTACATCAAAGTAACAATAAATAGTTGAGCAGAATCGGAGTCAAAATATATAATGAGACTCATGAATAAACAATGAAGCTCTGGCCCAGCTTTTTCACCGACTTTAATCGTAACCGCGCCGTAGATTTTGCAAATAAAAGCAGCAGAAATGATTCACTGCCTCTTGTTGCTTCCTGCAGCAAAACTTCAGGCTCACGTTCTTACACTGTTTGTTACTGCTGTCTTTCTGCGACATTCCGAAATAAATCAAGTTCCTGCCGCAATAGCGACATCTGAAACATGAAACGGCGGAGTTTCCTATTGTATTGAAATCATAATACCTTTATGAAAGAGAAGAGTTATATTTTGGTGTGCAGCAGGCAGTGTGAGGGGAAGATTATCCAGTCATCACGCAGAAGACAAGCTGACATGTCTGCCCACTGTTCATTTAGGCTGGGAAGCATTAATAATTAAATATGAAAGCCAATCGACGCTAAGGTTCAACAGTTCAATCATAGAGTTGATTGTTTTCGTGAACTTTAGCAAATTAAATGTATATAAATTATTCATATATATGATATAGATTAATGTTTTATGGTAGGGCCACCACTAGCCAAACGGGGGCCCTAAGCAAAATGTTCAAGTTAGCCCCCTATCCACCGAAACCAAACCAACCCAACCCTGCCCCTTGTGGAAATCCATCACAGCACAGTTGATATTGTCATAATGCTACGCTATAGAGAATAAAATACATGTAAAATACTATCCTCAAAAACATAACAAAATATCGTTCGCTGTCTAAAAGCTATCACCGCTGAGGTACGGTATTATGATGTTAACATAGGAAATACAGTATTAATACCAATGAACTTTGCTTTCATTTAAATACATTTGTTTTATGACTCAACAAATGAATATATTATTCATCAACCTAACCTATACAATAAAATATTGTATATATTGAAAAACAGCTGTTGAATATCTTTGTGAGTGTCAATTCTTCAATTCCTGTCAGTATATTAGTGTTGTCTTAAACTAAATACGAAAATTATTTTTATTATTTTTGTGATGTCTTAAACTAAACACGAAAATTATTTTTATTATTTTTGTGAGGTTTTTGTTTGGTGTTGAGTTTTTTCTGATGATGAACATCTATTATTATGACTGGACCCACAGGCATGTCCAAACTATTCCTCAAAGGGCTGTGACTCCAGGTTTTTGTTCCAACCAACCAACAGCACATAGTTTGACCAATCAGATGTCTCAAGACTGAGACGTCAACTCAGGTGTGCTACTGCTTGGTTGGAAAAGAACCTGTGTGGAACATTTTTGGCACCTCTACGATGTCTGAACAGTGATAACAACAGATAAACACTCAACCTCTACACAAAAATCAAGTTTTCCCTTTCCCGAGATGGAATATAAAAGCAAATTACTCCCATTGTTCTCGCTTC